CCCCTGGATGAAAATGGAGGCTCTGCTCTTTATTTATCTGTTGCCATTGTAGGTAAGTTAATTCAGACAAAATGTGTGAATTGAGATATATTGTACATCATACATCATACGTGTATTGCAATTTCGCCTAAAATATCGTAATATTCTATAAGGCCATGTCGCCCAGCCCTGCCTACAAATTTCTAATGATTTGTCAGTCACTGTTAATGCATCCATCTTTGGGGAGGAAGAGGGGGTCGTTGTCATACCTTTTTTATATGCAGAATGTTTGTTGGTTCGCCTCTATGACACACAGTGTCCATAGTCTGATTAATTTACTTTATTATTTATAAAGCAGGACAGTTAACCTTAGTCTTGTTGTTCTTTGATAACCGCTAATAATAAAATAGTTTGTATAGGGGAGAGTAAAATGTACTTAGGGTGAAAAACATTAATGTTGAACCCTGCCTGCCATCTGGAAACTAATGTTTTATTAATGAATAAACCTAAATTAGAATCACTTTCTGTAATAATAAAAGACTTTTAACATTTAACAGATCGACTCTATTGCACAAAACACACATCTCAGTAAAATGTGTGGATATATTACTTCATCCTCACCTCTGTATTTTGGTATTTTTGTATTAAACAGAACTTTAGCTTGGTCTAACATTATCATCACTGGACTCTGCGTGACCTACAGTACCAAACGTTGCCCCCACACCCACATCTCAGTCTCTGTCAGTTCAGATACAGTCTTTCTCAAACCACCACCACTGCAGCTCGGGACAAAAGTAACCCCCCCCGTGCATACCAGTGATCTCTGCATGTGTGCTTGTGAATGCATTAGTGAACGTCAGGTCGTAAACATCGGTTCCGTGGCCGTGCATCGAGTGTTTGCTTACAAGACCACATCACATGGCAGGGCTGCCAAAGTAAGTCCACATAGGATTGCCAGTGGTCTCCTTCCATTTGCCACTTCTCCATAGAGGAAGACTTTGGGGATTGGCCATCCTCATGGCAACTGATGTGACCCAGCCAGCCTGCCCTACTAACCACAGTACGGTGGGTGGTTTAGTTGAAAGTTGGTGCAACTTTTAGTAATTAGTAAGTTTGAATATATAGTAAGCTCTACATAAGAAGTTTTGTGTGTAAATTGTGTGATTTTAATCTTCTGAAAAGTGTGTTGTCTCTTCACCTTAAGTAACCTCCTTTCTTCAGCTTTCTATCTTTGCAACATTTGCTCAATGAAAAAAGTTAGAGGAACAACCACACACACACACCTAGATTTATCTTGTACACTAAACATGGAGCACTAAGCTCAAAGCCAAAGCACAGAACTGCTGCATCTTATTAGCTTATTTGTATAATGGAATGTGACAGCAGTCTTGAAGTTGACGTAAAACTGTGCTGGCACTTACTGAAGCAGAGTGTAGGGTATACAGCTGGTAGCAATACTTTTGGAGGGGACTGTGTGTGTAGTGTCTAATGTTGACATGCAGGCCGTCTTCAATGTGTGTTTTGTCTGACAGCTATGCAGACATGATTTATACAATTAACACAACATCACAATACCAAAGTAACATTAAAGCTGGGGTAGGAAATTTATTTCAGAAGCATGTTTTGTTTGTTGAAATGTTCTTTATATCCCAACAGCGATCAATAAATCAAATGCTCTGACACAAACATTGCTGTCCCAGGACTGTAAACAGCTAATCATTTCACAACATGCATAGAAATATTGTGTAGAAATCCATTAAATATTCCTCTGATGCCTGAAAGCAGAGGAAGAAGCACTTGAAAAGGTTAATCTTTTTGTAACAAATACACATTGTCTTTCTTTTGAAGCCATCTCATCATCATTTAAGCCCCCTGTCCTGTTCTAATTTTCCGTGCCACAGTCTCATATCATCTCAGGGTCATTCAGTCTACTCTTTTATTCTTTTTCATTCCATCTAGAAGAAAAATCCTGGCCCTCTGAAAGCCCATCCTGTGCAGGCGACTGGACTTGGCGGGACAGCAGGACCCCCTGGCTTCTGCGGCCATGTCTGATGGAGAGGTGCTGCCCCCCACAGTCCCCTTTACAAGGGGCTGTAAAGCCAGAGCAAGTCTACCTGTGGGGTGGTCGAGTGGTCAGACAAGAGAGGTTGCCTGGTACGTACACACACACACACACACACACACACTGTAGCGTTAATACCGCTTATTTAAGGCAGCACCAAAAATATGTAGCATAGGCAAAAATACACTTGCACAAAAGAAAAGTGGAGGGATGACACTGAACACGGCTGTCAGAGATTATCAATATTTAAACTAAATAACACAATTAATTGGCACCAGCCTTAGAAAAGGGAAAATGAGGTCATGTAAAGCATGTTTGGGTGAAGTCTGTCCTTGAGTCCTAACAGAGCCTGTTTCATAACCCAGAGGCCTTGTGGACTACTACTTAAGGGAAGGTTTATTCTTTTATCAATCCAAGATACAAAATGTCATCAGCATGCACACTGATCACGCCACAGCTCAAATACAGTTGAAACCTGAAGTTTACATACACTATATAAAAAGACACATGCTTTTTTCCTCACTGTCTGACATGAAATCAGACACTCATCACTTTTCCTGGTTAATGTCCAGTAGGATTACCAAAATTATTTATATTTGTTAAAAGCCAGAATAATGACTGAAGGATTTATTTAGACAATTTTTTATTACTTTGGTCAAAGTCAGAAGTTTACATACATTTCATTAGTATTTGGTACCATTGCCTTTAAACTGGATGACTTTGGTCAAATGTTTTGGATATCCTTCCACAAGCTTCTCACAATAGTTGGCAGCAATTTTGGCCTATTCCTCCTGACAGAACTGGTGTAACTGAGCCAAGTTTGTAGGCCGCCTTGCTCGCACACCTTTTCAGCTCTTCCCCTAAATTTTCAATAGGTTTGAGATCAGGGCTTTGTGATGGCCACTTTGTTATCCTTAAGCCACTTTGGAACCAGTTTGGCAGTATGCTTCCGGTTATTGTCCATTTGGAAGACCCATTTGCGCCCAAGCTTTAACTTCCTGGCTGATGTCTTGAGATGTTAGTATTTCCACATAATGGTCTTTCCTCATGATGCCATCTATTTTGCGAAGTGCACCAGTCCCTCCTGCAGCAAATCAACCCCACAGCATGATGCTGCCACCCCCGTATTTCACAGTTGGGATGGTGTTCTCAGGCTTGCAAGCTTCCCCCTTATTCCTCCAAACGTAACGATGGTCATTATGGCCAAACGGTTCGATTTTAGTTTCGTCAGACCACAGGACATGTCTCCAAAAATGAAGGTCTTTGTCCCTGTGTGCATTTACAAACTGTAATATGGCTTTTTTTCTGTTTCTTTTGGAGTAATGGCTTCTTCCCGGCAGAGTGGCCTTTTAGTAGGGGGTGGGGAAAAAATCGACAGCATAGTATCGTGATATTTGCCATTGCAATACTGTATCGATACACGGACGCCAAGTATCGATATTTTAGTATATAAAATGCAGATGGGAGTTTTAAATTTTTGGTGCTAGAATAATAAAATCTATTGCTTTTTTAGTCCTCTAGAAAACTTAACAGGACCATATAGAGGACTGAAAAAGTGATATGAACAAACAGAGAAATGTGTCTTTTTAGATAAACAGATGTTGACAAAGTTTGACTTAGGGACCTAATTGGAAGTTGGAAAAAGGTAATAAATTGCAATATATCTCAATATATTTAAAATCGCAATAAAATCGAATCGCAACATAAATATCGTGATAATATCGTATCGTGGGGCCTCTGGTGATTCCCACCCCTACCTTTTAGCCTGTGGATAATGACAAACTCTTACCAGCTTCAGCCAGCATCTTCACAAGGTCTTTTGCTTTTGTTCTTGGGTTGATCTACACATTTTGGACCAAAGCACGTTCATCTCCTTCCCGAGCGGTATGATAGCTGGACATTCCCATGGTGTTTATACTTGCTTACAACAGATGAACGTGATTTCTTTTGACTTTCCCATGATGTTACACAAAGAAGCAGTGTGTTTCAGGTGTGCCTTAAAAAAACATCCACAGGTGTGTCTCTAATTAACATAATCAGAAGCATCATCCGGGCTTTCCAAAATTGTTTAAAGGCATAGTAATCTTAGTGTATGTAAACTTCTGACTTTGAACAAAGTAAAGAAAGTAAAAATAGTCTAAATAAATTCTTCTCTCATTATTCTGGCATTTAGCCAATATAAATAATTTTGGTAATCCTAATGGACCTAAAACAGGAAAAGTGATTGTCTGATTTCATGTCAGACGGTGAGAAAAAAAAGGATATGTGTATTTTATATAGTGTATGTAAACTTCTGGTTTCAACTGTACACATGTACAAGGCCATGACCTGCACAGTCTGACTACTACTACATAGAAAGCTGAGTTCAGGGCTGAGCCCGGCTCTGGTTCGGGTGCCCATTTTGGACTCAGCTAACACTGCTAAGTTAGCTGCACAGCTAGCTAATGGCAGCTGTCCGCAGTTATGACCTGATATTGATATGCTGCCCCGACAGGTGTAGTCTCAGTTCACATTGTACCTTTAAATCCTCACGTACGTCCCGAGCAGCCTGCTGACAATAGACCTTCCAGGGACTGTGATGTAAGAATGTTGAGTTTTTATTCACACTGCAGATGTGTTTAGTTAAAGATACTGTACTGCCTTAATTTCAACTCTTGGAGTCTACCAGGTGCATTAAGGTGTGTGGCATTGTTACTTAAGGGATGATGACATTATGTCATGCTTGCATACACTTACACAGTAGCTGCCTCTAACAATAACCCAGGGGTTAGACACGTAGTTTGGTTGTCAGATGTGGTGCATTCAGATTAATGGATGTTCTCCTGTCAGAGACTAAAGCCCTCCCTGCCTGTGTGTGGTGTCTCAGGTGTGTTATACCTGCAGTACGGGGAGGAGACGAAGCAGGTCAGGATGCCTGCTGAGATCAGCAGTCAGGACGCTCTGCAGGCTCTGTTTGTCACTGCCTTCCCCCATCAGCTCACCATAAAGATGCTGCAGTCTCCCAACATGGCCATCTACATCAAAGACACCAGCCGCAACGTCTACTACCACCTGGAGGACATCAGGTGAGGGCCTGTTGATGCAGTAATTAGTCATTAACGTGCGTACTAAAAAACACCAACTTGTGTGCCTCCTAAATTACTGTGATACAGAAAAGGGTGATTCTGAAATGATGTACACGACCATTCCCTGCTCTCCTTTCTACCCATTCATAATGTCAAGATATACGTTCATAGTTATGTTCAGTTCAGAAGTAAGCTGGCAGGTTCAGTTACTAACTAATATCAGATAGATTTTAGAAATATGAATAAAGTTGTAAATATTACATTATTAAATAGATGAATGGAATCAGGGACCAATAACCAACAGTCTCAACTGTGAAGAGTGAATCTGAGCACTGACCGTGGTTTATTTCAATCTACAATATGATGAACAAAGCATGACACCAATCATGTACACCAATCCATCCATCCATCGTCAACCGCTTATCCTGCATATTTTTTTGAAACTCCACAAAGATTTCAACTTGTCACTAAATCCATTCCAGAATTTAAAAAAATCTCCCAGAATTTAAAATATCTATCCCAAAACACTTGTGTATTTTTCACTCACCTACATGTTTAAAATATGCACAATCCACTTAAACAGTACTTTCCTTCTAGTTTTTAATTAATTATTCTAGTTATTTATTTTTTTTAATACAAACAGGAACACTTTAATTCCTAACTTGAAAAAGTATTTTGATTTTACACAATATCTAAAAATGTTAATGTGCATGCAGGTGAAATAATTAGTCTGCAGATTCCCAGAAACCCTCTTTATTTATTATTCTAATAGCTCTTTTTTGAAGTTAAATTATAGGGTCCATATTTGCTTTAAATGCATTTCCCCAAACCTGTGATCGGGGGAAGAGCTACCTGTGCTGTGAATCAACAGATAGCAGATATGTACAGCGAGCTAACCTTGACACCCAGCTGTATTCTAACGTTAACATATCTATCCTTATTAGCTAGGCTCCTTACATGCTTGCTTAGAACTTATTTGAAGTTGGGTCTCTGACATTGACAGCGTTGTGTTTAGAACAAATACACTAACTTCTTAGAGTTAACTTCAGTGCTTTAGTTTTTCTATACCTGTACACACGGCTCTGTTTCAGTGTGTTTGTGAGAGAGAGAGGGAGTGAGTAAGCAGATTTACTGACAGTCTGTTGATATTGAGGCTTGTCATGTCGCCACAAATAAATTAATGAATGGGAAACACAGATTCTCAGATGTTTTTATTCATCTTAGTTCTGATAGTGAGTTAGTTACAATCTCCTTAATATAGGCACATGAAAACCCAGTTTTCACCCTGATTATCCCTTCAATCGTTGATAGGAGATCCAATTGCCAATCGGAATAAGCCTAGTGTACACTGCTCATCAGAAATAAACATTCACAGACCTTATTGCATTGATAAAAAAATGACTTGCTTTTGAAATTACGGTAGTAGTACATCAGAGTAATTTCCAGGAGACAGCATGATTTAGAAAGTCTCAGCAGCCATTAAAGAAACAGAGGAGGGACAGGCAGTGTTAAGTCACTGACTCCAATTTGCAAAGCCATTGTGATGAAGATCCACGTCACATATTAATGATTGTATCTTAAACATCATGAACAAAATACTAATTCCCTCAAAATAAGAATTTACAACAGTAACAAGTATATTTTTTTGGTCTTGCACATCTCATCCATCTGATCACTCAATTGTTTTTTTTTACTTTTCTTGTAAATCTCAAATATTCTTTTGCACGAATGTTGTTGTGTGAATGGTGATTCTGCATATAATAAAGTGTCCGAGACATTTTGTCCATTTGTTAACGCACATTCAGCGGTCACTGTGTGTTCTGTGTGCTTCTAGAAACATCACATCCCACTCCTGTCTCAAGGTTTATCATAAAGACCCAACACATGTGTTCAAACGCTATGCCAGGCCTGCCAACACAGAGGTGAGTCAGCCAAAACACCCTCCATATTTTTCATTGTATCCTACAGTGTTATGAATCAACTGTTTCCAGTTTCAGACATGACTAATAATTCAGTTCGATTTTATTTATATGGCGCCAATTCATAACAGAAGTGATGTCTTTGCACTAGGAATGCAAGACTAAATGGTAAATGGCTTGAAAATATGTAAATATTAAATATAAATCATAAATATTCATTGTATTGTATTTCTATAGTATTATGTAGATGTGAAGATAGCTTACTTGTTGGACTGAGCAAAACAGCCACCCTAAGTGGGATTTCCTTACTATCGGCTGCTCCCCCTACAATAAGATGTCGCCCCGTGTGGGTTAGGGTTAATCACTCCATGCTCAACACTGGAACTCCCCAGGGCTGTGTGCTATGCCCCCTTCTGGTTAAGCTGTACACCCAAGACTACAACTCCCAACATGGAGAGAACTCTATTGTGAAGTTTGCGGACGACAACACCATCACTGGCTGGATTTCAAACAACGATGATAATTTATATTGGGAGGAAATTGATCTTTGATGGAATCCAGGAGATCTTGCAGAGTGGTCTGCAGAGAACAACCAACTGCTCAATGTCAGCAAAACCAAGAAAATAAAGACACACACTCCTGTCTGCATCAGTGGAGCTGAGGTGGAGCAGGTGAACAGTTTCAGGTTCCTGGGTATCAGAAAACCTGACATGGTCGTCTCACATCTCCACGCTGGTGAAGAAAGCTCAGAAACGACTATTTTTCTTGAGGAAGCTTAAGAAGGCCAAATTCCCACACCAAGTTCTTGTCAGCATTTACAGAGGAGCAATAGAAAGCATCCTGAATGGAAACACCACAAACTGGCATGGGATGTGCACGGCCCAGGACCAGAGGACTGGGTGATTAAACTGCTCAGAAGATCATTGATACCCATCTCCCGAGCATCAGTGATATCAGTGAGGTGAGGTGTCTACGCAGAGCCCAAAGGATACTAAAGACAGTTTCTACTGCCACACTACCAGACTGCAGAGCAGCCTTTTCCCCCAGGCTTTTTTTATCCCTGTGTCAGCACCCCTCCTGCGTCTACAGTGTTCTCGTTGAACTGACAGCCTTTGATTCAACTGCAGACAGGGCAAAACCATCTGTTGGGACGTTAAACCTTAAACCTAAGCTATTGGTGCTGGAATTAATGACAGAAGTGGCAGAATCACATACTGTATAATGATTTCACATCACAAATCATCGGATGTACTTTTGTAAAACGCCATCTTTGATGTCCAAGACTGATACACTACTTTGGCCCTGTCGTTAACCAGCAGGCACAGTTTTTCTCTTTTGACTTTGTTTTGCTTCTACAGTTACTGTATACCGCAAGGAAACATAAAGCCAGTTCTCGCAAATGTCCAGGTCTTTGTTACTGACATCTGAAGATAAACACTCCGTGTGATGTTCATAAGCCTCCTGAGGTCCTGTCCTGCTGATAGAGATCACAGGACAGACTAACACACACTATCATCCACAAACACACACACACACACTAAAAAACATGAAAGGCACAGTGTTTTCTGTGTATTGAGGACTATCACATACTGAAAATCCACTGAATATACAGTTTGACTTGGTGTGGTGAAACACCAAAGCAAAGACTTATGAAAGTACAGATAAACACGTTTTCCTCTCACACACTTCATTATCTTTATATTGTCATTATATACAAAAATGTCAGTGCCAGGGGAATTTACAAATGAAAATCTAAAATACATTTTTTCACTTCACTGTTTTGACATCACTCATCTTTCTGAGTCTTGGTCTTGTCTCTTCATCCATTTTAAAGTGAGAAATGTTCATGAGCAAACAGCAGAGGGATGTATTTGTGCAGACATTTAAACTTCTGAGGCCACTTACATGGTTTTAAATATTTAACTGCTAGCTAGTTGTGAGTGTTGGCTGTCAGTCCAAGTGGTTGGTAGTTCAGACAATAGCTTTTCTATGGTATTAAAAAGCAACCAGAGGGAGAACCTCACCTGCACTTGGGCATCAATAGTGTTGTTGAGTAAGAGAACCACAGAGTGCTGCTGATAATAGAATGTGTCAAAATAATAAGTGGCTTTGGACCTCCAGCATGTAACTCCCCAAATAACCATAGACTGTCATTTTATGTTTCTAGATTAAAGAAAAGAGATACCATTTGTTAATAGGTGTATTTTTGAATTTTGGAAAGAGCCAGGCTCACTGTTTCCTTCTGTTTCCACCATTTATTCTAAGCTAGGCTAACCATGTCCTCAAACAAGTCCAACAACATGTTTTGCAGGTTGTTTATCCATGCCTCCCAAAATGACACATGAGAAACAGTTAGGATTAGGTTGGCTAGGATTAGGCAACAATAACTAATTGGTTAGGTTTAGGAAAATGTTGTGATTTGGGAAGTATGGCATCTTACTTTTGGAAACAAATAAGTGTATTTCCCAAAATATTGAACTGTTCTTCAATAATACACAACTCAGAAGAATAGGGAAAAACATATTTATTTATATACAAAGTGACCATATTTGAAAGTAGAAGGTTTTCAACTGACAGAAACAATATGCAGATGATGTAAATAGGATGTTCTCTGGAGTGGCATATGGAATGTGACAAGAACAAGACAGATGGCATGAATACATATTAGCCAAGGAGTCTTAAATAGACCAGTATTAGGTAAACAACGGAGATTGTTAGTATAGGTTATATTCCCCCTGAGTGTACTGCTGTGGCTCTGCACTGCACATGACCTCTCTGAACAGAGAGTGGGCGGATGTCTGACTGTGTAGCAGTGATGAGGAAAGACAGGTTCAACAAGGCCACAGTAAACATGTTGTGCCCCATAAATGATGCAGTCACCTCGGGCCAATCAGCAACAAATATGTCACCTTGTTTTGACCCATAATTATAGCATCTCCTGGACAAGTGAGTCATGTTGCAAATGTGGCAGCACAGCACAGAGATGCAGCATTTCCTCTCAGCTTCAGTATTCTGAGAACACCCACTCAGTGCTGTTGTCTGAGAATCACAGATACTGTGTCACTGTAGGCAACTACCCTGCTAGAGATGCCTCTTTAATGTAACAGATAATCAAATATGATGGCCGTTATCCTCTTCCTCCGTTGTTTTTAACAATTATGAAAAGGTTGCACGGAACAAGCCCTTTTACTAACATGCAGTCCATATGTCGTGTTTCATTAAGGCATCTTGACAAAGTCCATGCTTCATGTTGTCTGAACTGTCCTGATAACATGCCGCTACTTTCTATCCATGAGTTTGGGATGTGTTGCCAATTACTGGGATTATTTTTGTCAGTGAGGGGGTCTGATTCTGTCGGAAAACCGAGACACTGTTATGCTCCCACTTGTCACATATAGGATATTGACCCAGATGTGCCTCCTTCACTGTCCACTGCCTTCTCTGCTATTCACACACTATAATAGTATGGCGTGACCTACAGACAGTCCAGTTAGTCTGTGGAATGTTCTCTGTTCATTTCCCCATGTTATTTCCCATATATTTCTAAATTCTTGAAGACAGAATTGATAAACTCCTGCACATAACTTTATTTATTTAGATATCCAAAGATTAAAATGAGTGATAGGTTGAGTGTAAGAGTTCAGTTCAGTTATGGTTTCTCTGCAGTTCAAACCTGATCAAGTCTTCTCAATGTTTCACTCCCTGCAGGGAGTTTCACATCTGAGTCAGCCACAGATGCTCATTGAAAAGGAATCGCTTATTAAATTGTCTCGCAGAGGAGCAAGTTCATAACACACTGGTTATTTTAGCTTTTCTGCACAGTAAATACAGTTAATTGTATTTACGCATTAATTAATTAACGGCGACAATTTTTTATATCAAGTTAACGCAGTTTTTATTATTACGCTGTTATTATGAAAGTCCGTTTCTCACTGGCTCTGAATACACATCCAGAACCATGGGTCACGGAGAGGTGGGATGTTGATCAGCCTGCAAATCAGCCACTCAAACAAGCAGTGGAGGGAGGCTTCAGCAGACTACGCTGCAGTGTGAGGGAGGAGATAAAAACAAGCTATCAAACGCCACAGCCAAGTGGATAGCTCCACACTGCATGCTGGTTAGTACTGGGGAAGATGTCGGTCTTAGGAACGTTCTTAAAATCACAATGTGCTTGGCCCTGCGGGGTCGCTCTGCGCTCCGGTGAACAGGATACAAATGCTCCGCGAGTAAACAGCAGGCGCTCTATGGAGAATAGCCATGGCAACGGCTTCTGTGCGCTATACAGCTGTAACCTATTTAACATTGTAAAGAAAGGTGAAATTAGTTTAGTAGAGTGTCCAAAATCTTAGAAACTTTCTCAATAGAAAAACAAGATTTTTATAAATACCTGCAGTTGAGAACTTATTATAATAAAAACATCAACAGGGAAAACACTAGAGAACCCAGTAAACCAATTATTCATAAATGCATACAAATCTGAAACTAAAAGAGGGAATATCTCCCAGTTGTGCCTTCTCAACCTCAAAGCCAAGTCAACAAAATATAAAGATCATATGAGATAAAGAAGGAGAACAGACAGTCACAGACACAGAAGTATGTCAAAATATTTTTTTGTCTCAATGGAAAATCACAAAGGTTATATTCAGTCTGCAGGCCTTAATGCTCAATTACGATTTTTTCCCAGATCCAATTTTTTCACATTAATGTTTAAATTAATGTTTAAATGTGGCCCATATAGTGCAGAAGAATACAATGACGTCACACGCAGCACGCTGTCGTGCAGAAGCTAACAGAGGTTAGCTCCCGTTAGCTCCCGTTAGCTCATACTTGCTCAACCTCCCAATTTTCTCCCAAGATTCCCGTTTTTCATTGTCCTCTCAGGGGTCACATTTCTCCTGAATTATGACAAGTGTTCAAGTCACACATGATTTTTTGTCACTCCACTGATGAAATCACATTATGATGACCCTGCAGCTTGTTTGTGTGTAATCTTAGTTCTGATA